TTTCTGATGAGATTTATTAAATTGAAGATTAGCAATGCTTAAAGGAGCTCTTATAATTCCGCCCACATGTTTTGTTTGAGAAGTTCATGTACAATGCTCAAACAACCTGAGTTCCTCAGATGCTGTAGAGAAATCACTGGGAAATTACCTAATTTAAAATGTCAAGTGAGTATACTGGAGAAAGTAACAGTTTTATTTTAGAAATTTGAATATACTTTTTTTTCTCCAGAATATTATTCCAACATTTTAATTCAAACTTTACTTTCAAAAGGGCTTTGCAGATAGGCTGTTACTTTTCACTAATCTTAGGTAAATAGGGAGAACATTAACTTTTCCCGGCCACTTAGAAACTCCTTAGCGTCTGGAACATCCTGAACAATAATAATTTCCTGTAAAATTTTCTAGTTCATGATCTGCTTAATAGTAATGGACAAAGCATCAAATGTTGTCGGGAAGAGCTTCCTCACTCTCTTACAAGATCTTAATGATCTCCAACCAGAGCACAGTTTTCAGCTGGGATTGTGTAATCCTATGCAAAAAATCTTGTTTTTTTCCTTTAAGGAGAATGATGAACATATCATTTATTGTTCATCTGTCAGCTATAAACTAATACTTGCTAAGTCTTCATTGTTTATAGTGCCAGACAACACCAACTCTTTCCTAACTAAATAAATGAACTTATTCACATTTATAACTCTTTACCTTGGTATAATAATAATTTAGCTGCTTCTGTCTCACTATGAAAATATATAACTTTTGTTTATTATACATTAAGACAAGCAAAACTACATTTAGTTAAAGCAAAAGAAATGAACCATCTTAGAAGTAAACAGTGCTAGGTCATTCATTACTTTGTTCTGGGCTTTTTGTGAATTGTATATATGGAGATGTTATACTCTAAACATATTTAAGATAAGTTCTGAAGTTTTATTTATAAAAATATTTTTCTTATCACTTCTTACTTTCCAAATTTCTCATTCTGTTGCTCATGTGTGTATTTGTAACGGAAACCTGAGCTATGCTCCAAAGGGAAGCATGCTTGGTTGCTTAGAAGTGCTCAGATGTACTTGGTTCAGGCCTTGAGCAGACAGCAGAGTCACCATCACACTAGAGATTTTGCCTCGTTTGTGTTTTTCCTTTGTGTGAATTTTTCCACTCAGTCTTTTATTTAATGACCTACTTTTTAGGCACTGCTATGTGCTAAGCACACGATTGGGTATGCTGAGTCTTATTTCTCTTACTCCTCACAATAATCGTTAAAATGGGATTTATTCTTATCTTACTGGTTCGAAAGCTAAACATGGGTTTAAATTAAATTAAATACCTGATTCTTAGGTGCTAAAAGAACTACAAAGATAAGGAAGATACTGTCCTGACCTTTAAGAACCTTTATTCTAATAGAGAGTTAGAAAATTATACATGAACACACACACCTATACACACACACCACCTATAACAAGAGGTATTGTGTGACGAATTATATAAAAGGCATAAAACTATAGTACATAGAATCATATCTTTCCTTAAATTTTGCACATCCAAAATTTTAGCTCAGCGAAGTAGATTATCTGAGAGGTCTTAGCCAGAGATATGTGCAATGTATTTAAAAAACACACAAATTCTTTTTTTTTCTTTTACTAATTAAGGTATTACATGTGTGTCCTTATCCCCCCCACCCCCACACACACACTCATACCCTCATTCCCCTGGTGTCTGTGTCCATTGGTTAGGCTTATATGCATGCTTACAAGTCCTTTGGTTGATCTCTCTCCATTCCCCCACCCTCCCCTACCTTCCCTCTGAGGCCAGCCTGTATGCACCCGTGGATCATAGCAGCAGGTTCAAAAGTCATGACTGCCTAAAAAGACTAAGGCTAAAGTATGCATAGTCAGATCCTAACGCCTGAGATTCAGAAGTCAAGTAAGCAGTTAGGACGTAGAACAAATCGGAAAAGAGCCAGTTGGGAGACACAGGAGCACAGGTTTCCAGGCGGTTTTGGATCTCAGGATAAAGCAGCAGAGAGAAAAATGAAAAACAGAGCAGCTGTGTCAGCCAAGAAGCGTCATATATTTCCTGCTGAGGTAGAACTCCTCATGGTGCAGGTGGGAATGGAGTAATTCCCTGTAAGGTGGTGGGATATGGATGAACCTGGCCAGATGGGGAAGATGAGGCCTGAGTACATACTAGGAGTTAGTGGGAAAGTTTGGTTTCATGTTTAAAATTAGCCTTATAAAAATATTTTCTGAAACAAAACTATTGGATATATGTAGAAATAGTTGTATTTTTATTGTAGCTTAGAGCAGCCGTAAAGTAATATATTTATTGTTGGGTATTTCTAACTAATATCTCTTTTGATAAAGACATTCCTAGAATTGATACTAAGCCAGTGTTCAAGTTACTATCTAATCATCAGCATCATCATTATCATCATCATTTGTTATGTGTGAAGCACTTGTTGTGTGTCAGGTATATTTCTAAGTGCTTTGCATACATCATCTTATTTAATCCTTGCAGCAAGCTTAGGAGATGGGTATGGTTGTTATTCACTTTATAACAGATGAAAAATGGAATCATGGAAATAATTATCCCAGTATCACATACCTAATAATTTGTATAGCCAGGATTCAGACCATTGATTCAGTCTCATCCCAGAGCAATTGCTCAGAGTGATTATAATATTACCCTTACCACCTCCTAGAGTTAAACTTTAGGATTTTTCATTTGAACTTAGATGATATTATAATCCCATGAACAAAAGCAAAAGAAAAAATATAA